AATTTTTTGTGAAAAAGTTGTCATTTTAAATCACCCCTTTTGGGCAGGTAAACGGTCAGATTTATAAAAACAATATATCAAATGATAGGTAATAGTATTATTCATCTATATAAAAAAAATTATATTGATATGTTTATTTTTGAAAAAGTTACGGCAGTTTTTAGTAAAAAAAATTTCGAAAATTTTGAAAATTAGCGATTTTTTAATTTGTAATTTTTTTGGAGGTTTCCCCATTTACGGGGAACGAGGGAAATTTTTTAAATTTTTAAGGGTAATGTCTTCGACTATATACGATTTGTGATTTTTTGACGTATCATTGAANAAGGGTAATGTCTTCGACTAGATACGATTTGTGATCTTTTGACGTATCGTTGAAAGAAATCCGTTCGGTGAGAGCTGAGAAAAAGTGGTAACAGACAAAAAAAAAAAAAAAAAACACATCTTAGTAAAACCAATACCTTCTCAGCTTCGCATCAAAACTAAAATTGAAAAAATTAGCGATTTTTCAATTTGTAATTTTTTTGGAGGTTTCCCCCATTTACGGGGAACGAGGAAAATTTTTTCAATTTATAGTAGTTACTATCAATATCATGGTTGTAACGGTTAACGGGAAATCAGGGTTCGATTCCGGGGAGGGTGTCTGAGAAACGGCTACCACATCCAAGGAAAGCAGCAGGCGCGTAAATTACCCACTCCCGGAACATAGAGATAGTGACGAAAAATGACGATACTGGATTCATCCTTTGTAATCGGAATGAACGAGTTCTATATCTCTACATAAGAATAAAGTGTGTTAATATATATTTTTAATAGTAATTAGAATATATATATATATATATACATGTAAAGCGACTTAAGTACGTAAACGTATCATGCATTAGGTACAGTCGTGTTTTGTGGGCGGGCGGGTCGGACTAACGTTATACCTGAGGTATAAACGGCGGTTGGAATATATACGTAAGCCGTATGCACGCGGATGATAATGATCAGTAGTGATGATAAAAAATAGCAGTAGCAGCTATAATAGCAGTCGCAGACTGATATTCAGTGTAAATAATAGCAGTGATTGCTAAATTTCGTAATTTATGTTTTTCAACAGTCTACACTGTATTATAACTGCTACACTGCTACTATATTATAACACATAATATAATGGAAAATAGCAGAAGCTATAGAGCGGCAGGCTTGGTGTTATGTATGATAATTGATAATGCGCATTCCGCATTAGCTGTTGAGCGTCTAAAATGTTTCTGTTATCAACGCTTATCCAGTTACTAGATATCAATATCTAATACGGCAAATACAGTATTATCAGTAAAAACAAAAACCACAATAGTCAATATTACATTTTGCAAATCTAGTATCACAGACTATATTTTCATATAGTCTGTGGCGTTATCGTCAACTCTAATGAGTGCGACAGTAGACAGCTGATAATGACGACCAGACAACGTGCTAATTCACTGTAAATGAATAGTATCAGTGGTGACTCGTGGGTGCCGGTTGTGGGGGTGCGACTTTTAATATAATACCGCTAGTTATGGGTATAAAAAATTGTCAAATTAATCATAATAAAATAAAACACAATACACATATTATTATTTTAAAGGTCGCAGTAAAAAATAGAAATGAAAATAATAATAATAATAGCGATTTTACTATTATAGCAAACGAATAACGACGATCGTACACGTAGTTAATTCTAAAANTGATTAAAATCACTATCATAAAAAACGCTTCGATGCAAATCTTTAGACAGTGTTTAGTTTTAAAAAATTGGTGGATTATTCCAAAAGCTACATGATCTGCTATTTTCTTATTTATATCCTGATTAAGATAAAGTATGTCGAATAAAAGAATGATATAAATATTATTTCTCATAAAAAAATTCTATTGATGTAAAATGTAAAAATAAAATCGAGTTTTTCACACAGATATAGCATTCGGTAGCCATTTACACCAGACAAAATAAAAATTTTTTTTTTTCATAATATAGTATATTATATTAGCTTTAATTTAAGATATATATAAAAGTGTCAGACTTTCCGGAACACTTTCAAATATAAATTTGAAAAAGTTAATTTTTTGTGAAAAAGTTGTCATTTTAAATCTTCCCCCGTGGGCAGGTAAAGGGTCAGATTTATAAGAAAAATATACCCAATTAAAGACTAAGACATCATAGTAAAACCAATACCTTCTCAGCTTCGCATCAAAGCTAAAAAATACCATTTCAGTATTTATCATTTATTCAAGTAAAATTAACACATTTATATTATAATTATGGTTGATTTATTTATAACATAATAATGTTACAATACTATTAACATAGTGGCTTACATGTTTTACAAAACTAAATAGATTATAATATTGCAAAGATGTTTGACATTCGTATTAGATTTTTCTTAAGGCTTTAATATGACTTTTAGGATTATATACAGTTTATTTTCTTATAAAAATATAGTGGCTCAATTGATATTAGAGTAAATTAAAAAAAAATTATACTTCTTTTACAAATGTAATGATCAGCGTTTAATGAATTATTTTAATTATATAAGGATGTCAAAGTTATTTCAACGTCTTACCATAATTCATTTGTTCAAAACCATTTATGTTTAAATTAGCAATGCAATTATGGAATGCATTTTGTGCTTGTGGTAAATTTTTGGATGACAAATAATTAATAACTTGATCAATTTTTATATCAGCTGATGTTGATAATATTAGTCCCTAAAAAAATAACATATTCAATCTTCAGAGTGTTATAGTAATTTGGAATTGCTAAACGAATAAAAAAGTGCTGTTTTCAACAATTGTAATTACTTGATATATATTTTAAAATTATAATTCATAAAACAAAAAAGGTGTATAATAATATATTTTATTGGTTAATTTTTACTTACAGAAAACATGGAATCATCTAAGATCAAATACGTGTAAAAAGTAGCACAACAATACTCTGCAAAAGGAATTTCGTCAGATCCAAAAATGAAGAATTTTATACCACGAACAACTCCATCTAGAGGAATTTTACCAGAAATAATTTTAATTATATCTCCGACTATACATTTTCGTACATCGTTTCGGTCGTCTTCGTTTAAATCTCCTTCGTACACATCTAAAGCATAGTAAAACTATTTGCCCATTTATTTTTAATTGTATAGACAGTGTATAAGGTTCAATTACTCATTTCTGACGTATCATGTCCATCAAGAGAATACATTTTTATGCAATCTCGCAGAATTTTATATGCTCGATAAAAACGCAAATTTAATCGTTTTTTATAAGTTTTCAAATCGCCCGTTATCTTAAAATAAAGATGTTTTTATAATTAAAAAGATATATTAAAAAAACTTGTATTATGTAAATATTTATATCATAGTTTAATTAACGTTTAGTTATAAGACGAGAAAGCCTGTTAATGTTCAAATTCTATGCGGGGGGAGCAAGATTGTACAGTTGCTAACTACACCCAGAGAAAAACCTCGATCTATATAATAAATTCATTGTTCAATTTGATAAATATATCATTACTATGGAATCTATGATATATTTATCAATATGATAATTTTTTTTCTTGTCTTGAACAATGATTTTTTATAAGAATAATTATTTTGTTCGTATTAATAAAACATTATCATAAGCCCTTGATAAAATTTCTCCATCTAAATTGATTGAGTTTTTTCTTTGGGTCTAGATGTATATCACATGGACGCATTCGAGATGGGCTTGCTGCTCGCTCATAAGTCGGCGCCTGCGATACCAAACCGGCAAGTCACCGCTAGCAAAGTTGGACAGGAGGGTGGTGTCGTATATGTCCAATTGCTTGGCATACACGTATATCGCTTTATATTGTAATTGATAATTATCAATAAAAATACTATAATTTGTATTTTATAATGATACTAATTAAATAAAATTAGTTGTCATTATAATCACACTGTTCAATACTATAATTTAACCGTTGTTAACAATACTATCAAATTGTATTAATCATGTAACATTTAATATGTAAAATAAAAAGACATTCGCTAAAAACGCTGACAACAATATCCCTGGATTGGGGGGGGGGTACCGTATTACACTATATAGAGCACAAAAATCCTTTCAGAGCGGCATTCGATTTCATCGTTGACTTACGTCGCAAAAATGTAGTCGACGCTGGTTTTGAGGGTGGGACACGTGGGCCGTTTATTAATGAGCAACAACGGGTTAACTTTAAAGAAAGACGAATAAACCGAAAAGACGAATACAGTAATAATAATCTTCGCTTAATATCGCGGCACTTTCGCTGACGTCCACAACTCGGTGTCCAGCATGATCCTCGGCGTCAAAAAGTTAGCAGCTATAATGGCGACGGTGCGCGGGTGCGGATCGGTTCGTCGAGTCCGGTCGTGCGGCACGTCCGGAACCGGGGCGAACATCCTCGACGTTGTCACGCTGACAACGGGAAGAAGACTCAACGTATCGTTTGCGGCGGGTCGTCGTCGGCTGTGCGGCATTTGCTGGACTTTGCACCGTGGCGTATGGCACGCGGTGTTGGCCAGTCAAATACTCATAGTAGGGCGACGGCTGATAAAAGTGGCACGAGTCGCGGGGCATCGCGTATAACGCGGGGCCGTGTCAGTATATACTAAATGAACAATTGTCAGCCACAAACCTGCGTTGTTGTCGGCTACCTTTTTTACGCGTGTGATTTATATACGAAAAGAATTTGTTTTAATTATTTATGTTGTGACGAAATGCAAATCCAATATCTCTAATTATATAAACATATTGAAATATTTATCAAATCATCTCACAGCAATTTGCAAAAAAAAAAAGAAGCAAGTAAATTTATGGTATCCCAATTGTTTGGAGTTAATAAGTTTGAGTAAAGGATGACAAAGCAATGGATCATTTATTAAATCAATATTTTTAAGTGTTAATTTTGACTGGTTGGTTAAAATATTATACATTAGAACATTATATGGTATTCGTGAACTGGCTCCGCCGTTTCGTTGCCACTTAGTTAGGACATTAGAAAGACAAAAGTTTATTACACCTCAATTTCTAATGTACTGCGTTTATTATTTTTATATCTACTTGTCTTTGTCGTTCTAAACCCTCGAACCATATGACGCCGATAGAACCACAACCTGATGTTCTCACCATATACAAGACCTACTTCTAATTTAATCATTTTTATTTTATTAATTTTTGTTATTTGAATTATAACAATGGAAAATAGTATAAAGTATAAATTTAATTTCTTGTCAATTCGCAAGACATTGAATTTCTAAAATGTAATTTATTTTTTATTGAATTGTTAGAATAATCTAAAAAGCATTGAGATATTATTAATATCAGCATTTCGTTATTTTGTACCTTGGGATATTCTACTGCAAACAAACTTGAGTGGAAAATTATACAATATTCAAAATTTTCTGTAATAATAGATTTATCTAATTTAAAAAATTCAATTATTATTTGACTCATTTCTTTTGGATGAATTTCACGAGAAATTATATCATCTCCCAGACTACATAAAAATTGATTGAATTCTTCTGTAAAATTACAAATTAATAACGATAAATTAATTATACATCTGAATAACTCATTCAAAAATTAATACTATTTAAAATAAATAGTTGCAACATTAAAATACAAATAATTATATAAAATTTTAAGTGATGCTAATTGGATAGACTTTATTCTCATTCATTTTTATTTTGGTTAAGATTTTATTTTGTATTTGTATTAGGATTTTCTTAAGGTTTTAAAATGATTTATACAGTTTATTTTCTTGTAAAAATATAGTGGCTCAATTGATATTAGAGTAAATTAAAAAAAAACACATCTTAGTAAAACCAATACCTTCTCAGCTTCGCATCGAAATTATACTTCTTTTACAAATGTAATGATCAGCGTTTAATGAATTATTTTAATTATATAAGGATGTCAAAGTTATTTCAACGTCTTACCATAATTCATTTGTTCAAAACCATTTATGTTTAAATTAGCAATGCAATTATGGAATGCATTTTGTGCTTGTGGTAAATTTTTGGATGACAAATAATTAATAACTTGATCAATTTTTATATCAGCTGATGTTGACAATATTAGTCCCTAAAAAAAAATTAGTTTTACTACTACGTGTACATGGTAATTGGACTGACCAACACGCCTGCCATACGTTAAGGTACAAAGTCCAGCAAGTGTCGCTGGCCCGACGACGACCCGTCGCAAATATTGGTCGAGTCTGCTTCAGGTCGTCGATGATTTACGCCACTGGCTCTGGACGTGTTGCGCGACCTGACGAGATGAACCGATACCGCACCGTCGCCATCAACGCTGTTACTATTGACGTCCGAGGACCATGTCGGTCACCACATCTCTGACAACAGCGAAAGTGCCGCGATTTTATGCGAACATTATTATTAATTGGGTTGGTCATTTCGATTTCTTTTTTTTAATAATCTTTTGTTGTTCTTCAGTAATAAACGACCCATGCCTCTGTACCATCTATATCAGTGTCGACTACATTATTGTGACGTAAGTCGTGTCAATTATAATTTCAAATTTATCTATGAACTCTTCAGATAGTAATAGACATTTAAAATTGCTAAACAAATAAAAAAACTGCCGTTTTCAACGACTGTAATTTTCATATATTTTCGTAAATATGTCGGTGTGTCCTTTTTAAAGAGTTCCGTATTTATAAGCAATTATCGGTTTTACATGCGATTTATGCGCTTGTGAGTCGAGTAAAGCTGTGACGAAGCCATTTTGGAATTCTAACTCGACTGCTGGAGTAGTAATTCTACGCGGGCATTTTCATTACTCGGGTGGTTTACGGTTCGAACGAGGGGCAGCTGGTTCTTAACCGCGACGCCGGTTTGCCCACTGACAGTGTTAACTGCCATTAGTGGACTAACCGGATCGACTGACACCCCCTCCCCCACTGTGAAAAAATTTCGAACACCTGACTTGCGCTATGTTCGGTCGTGTCGGCAGTGTCTTCGAATTCCGATACGCTGATTACATACGAATTTACCGCGGCGTACCTTCCATCCCGATAAGAGGGGTGTGGTGCCGAAAAAGTGCCAAGATCGTTGGCGGTATGTAACTCGTAAGGGCCGTTAGATTCGGTGTTTTGAGCGACGGTCGTGATGCGTGATATGTTGTTAACGGATAAAAATTACGTAGGGCGCGTTTTAACTGAAACGTCGTTTAAAACGCTGCGCCCTGTTTGGATCTGTTGTATGCTTGGGGGGGGGGGGACGGACTAATTCCCTCCTAGCCGATTGCCGTTTCCCGATACCGACGGTCTATTTGGGCATTGGCGATGCCAGTGTCACTCGCTGCAATATCGGCACGGGGAAGGCGGTGCGTCCGCGTTTGCATAACCCGCTCGCTGTCGGGCCGCTGGTTGAGCATTATGCCGCGGAGGCAGTTCGGCTGGCTGTAGGGTCGTTGGTGGAGCGTACCGAGGAGCCGCGGTCTTATCTACGTCGTGCGATATCTCGTGTAGATCGGCGAAAGACGCTGGGTGCATTAACCGTATCATAGCGCAGTAATCGTCCCGTAAAAGCCCAGTTAACTGTCGCCAAAGTTGTTGTTCTGGTAACCCACAACGTACTCGCGCGGCCAAACGTTGTTTTTGAATAATAAACTCGGTTAACGCTTGTCGGGGGCCCTGTCGCGTCGTTTTTAAGTCCGTCTCGAGCGCAGTCCGGATATCGATATTGTCGAACTCCTCGAGTAATTCGGACCTAAATTCCGTCCATGGCATATTGTTTAATTTAATCGCTCGCCACCAATCACCTGCCCTGTCGTTCAAAAACGGGACGACGATGTTTACCCACGCGGTTGGGTGTATACCGCCCCGACAGAGTAGATCCTCCGCTCTATCTAGAAACTCCCGTGGGTCCTCTTCGTTTCTCCCGTAATACTCAGGTAAGCAGGCGCGTACGTTGCGTAGGTCGTGGTAGGGAGGTACCAATACCGACCGCGAGCCGCGGGTAGGCAACAAATCATTAAAGGACCGACGTCCGTCGGTTGTGTTGAATTGCCCCTCCCGCGGTTGGCGCGTGAACTAAAAATCGGTCGGCTCGTTCTCATATGTATGAGTGCGCTGATAATGTTCGTCCTGCTAACCCCTGCTACACATCCGTGGTAGCGACGCTTGTACGTACGACCGTCTCATGTTGCGGGCTTGTTGTGCTTCGATGTCCGCGAGGCGCTCGTTTAGTGTTGCGTCGTGTCGCGTCGCTCCCGATGGACCGAATGTAACGCGATGCGCTTCCGATCGTCGACTATCGTTTCGGTCAACGTTAACTTGTCGAACAGTCGGTTGTACAGCAACATGTATGTAACCCCCACTTCGGGTTCGCGGACCGGAATTTCGCTATCGAGCTGCGTACGGAGTAGTAAAATTTCGGTAGCTGGGTTCCCCTCTTGGCTACGTAGGTTTTCTTCTAGCATAATTAGCATGTCGGGTTTCGTCGCGTAGCATGGTAGTTGTCTGAAAGCGCATAACAATCAAAAGTAGCTACGTTAATAGCGGAGATAAACAATATTTCCGTGTACGGTCAAATTTACTTGNATTTCCGTGTACGGTCGAATTTGCTACTGCTGTAGAAAACAAGTGTTATTATTATTGCTATTATTGATGTCGTAAAGTACCCGCGATAAGATGGTACGGGGCTGCCGTTTATGATGTGGCACCGAGTGAACAATAATAATAACGGTAACCTGGGAATCGACCGCTTTGACTAGGTNGGTTACCTGGGAATCGACCGCTTTGACAAGGTCAGACGTAAATATACTATTTTTATCTACCAATAGACTGTAACAATCGGCCGGAAATTAACTTTCTGTCGATATCAATAAGGTCTTTATAATAAACTGTAACCAACACTTTTCAACGACAATAGTTACAGCGGACCGTATTAGATAAACAACTCCAACTTAATTTTTATAAAAAATTTTCCAGAGACCAAGTCAAATCTAATCCCGCTAACACGTAACTGTGAATAACCCAGGTAAAAATTCACCGCTGTCATCAGTGAAATTCGTTCAAATGACTATATGAACAATAAAAATTTGTAAGGGAGACTTCACCGTTCCAAGTTAAAACTAAAATCTAATATACAGTAGAACCTCATTAATCCGGACAGCTGTCTAGTATTACGAAAAATACGCAGTTTATGCCGTAGACTAAAATAAACATAAAAGCAAGTTCCTCGAATTTCCCATAAGTACATATATTCTTATCTACCGTCATTAAAGTTATCATAAACTAATATCATGTTGCAATACATATATATTGTATATCATACATAGTAATTAGTATAATATAATATTCTTAAATCTATAATACGAACATGTTTTTTGGTTATTTTGTTTAATCCGGACTTTCATTAAATCAGACAACCTAGAGCCCTTATTGGTTCGGATTAATGAGGTTCTACTGTAATTAGAAATAAAACTGAATCGGCTCAAAGCCTCTTACCTTAACTTCTCTCGGCCGGTTTAGATTTCGTACTAGGTCTAGTTTTCTTTATTAATACATTAATTTCAGGATTTGATTCTAAATCACGTGTCAACTTTCTTTTTCTCGCAACTGCTTCATTATTTTTATTATCACCAAACAATAAATCCTATAAGTTATGNTGCTTCATTATTTTTAGTATCGCCAAACAATAAATCCTATAAGTTATACACGTATTAAATCTATGATTATTGAAATAATAAATTGTTTTATAATAATTACAGTCTTGCGAGGAGTATCTGAAGAATATTTTGTAGTTTTTCTTTTAACAATAATTGATGACTGGCTAATAATATGTCCTTCTGTTAATGTACTGAATCCAAGTAGAAGTGAATCTGGAGACTAGAAATAAAATAAAATTAGGAAAAAACTGTTAACCTTTTTAAGAGGTAAAATAATTACCGATTCTGTTGGGGATACAGCAATGTCTAAGAATTCATCATCTGAATCAGCTGTATATGATGTATTGCTCTCAGATAATGTTGACATTGATCTAGAATCATCTGAATGAGCAGTAGGAGAACCACTGTCCTGTGAATTAGGATCATCATCTTCAAGTGGATCTCGTCGTCTTACACGGAGTTTGTATTTTGCAAACTAAAAACCATAAATTACAATATTTATTTTCATTAATATTGAATTTCTAGAAAATTCTTAAATTTAATAGTAAATTTGATATCTAACATTGATCGTTCTTTTTAACTATTTATTATAACTATTAAATATTATTATTTATTATTCTCTTTAGCTATTTAACAATACATAATTAACAGTTTAGAGATGAATAAAAAATTTAATTTAATTTACTGTAATAAATAAACAGACTAAAGTAAATGATTTAATTTATGCTGGGATTAATTAATGTTAATATATTATTAATACAAACTTCACAGTTTAAGAATGCACAACAGTATGGAATCTTGCTTGACATAATTATTGTACAAATAATATACAATGTATAACTAATACAAATTTGTATAATTATATTATTTAAAATATCTTTTTAAGTTTTGTGTTTACATAAAATAATATATTTTTAAGGATTTAAAAAATTATTTTATGATTTAGTTTAAATAAATATTTGTTTATTTAAGGTATTAATAATAAAAATATCTATACAATTTAATTGTTATTGATATATTAGCCAAGGATAAATTAAAATAGTTACATGCGTTTATTGTATATCTTACTTTAGACATCACTACAACCATACATTTTGATGAATTTTCTTTTTCGATTAGACTGTTCATAATTTTTATAACACATTTCAATGGGCTATCGTTTATAGTTTTTGAGTTTCCCTTGATTAATCTATAAATAAAAAATAATTTGTCTCTCTCTAACTCCCTCTACATCCTATTTTCGTAAACCCCTCAAAATATGAGTCACCTGGAAGAATTTTCCGTTTTCTGCGCTTTAAATTTCGCGTTCTTCGACTGCAGTCTCGAAACTGGTACTGTTCAACAGAAATTATTGTTTCACATCTTTTGCGACCTCGATGAGGATTTTTCGGCACCCTAATTTTTTTTTAATTTTTAATATTGTAAATATTCATTAAGTAATATATTGAAATAGAATATAAACACATATAATGATCAGTATTAAATTTTAATTTGAAAACAACAATAATTTATGAATAATTAACCCAACCCGTATTACTGTAGTATTAATGTTAGTACGATTTAGTTAGTTAATTAGTAAGTGTACAACTAATAGTCTGGGTAAGCAATTTTCAATAATGTTTGATCTGATGTTGTATAAAGTGTCACATAAATATAAAATTGTGAATGATTATTATAACATTATTCATTTAATAATGACTGTAAATTCTAGAACTTAAATTATATTATTGTAGTTATTCGTAAAAGTTAAGTGTACAGTCCACTCCAACACGTCACCGTGTCTCATCCTAAGTAGGAACCCAATACAAATACAGGTTATAATGTTACAAAGATTTTAATATTTGTATTAAAAAAGCCCTTGAAAATGCCTTTGAAATGAATATTAAGATTATTTTTTACTTCTTTTTCTTGTAAAAATTTATTAACTTTATTAATATTGTAGTAAATTACAAAAAAAATAAGCTTGTTTTACCATTTTAACAATCAACGTTTTTTTTAATTATTTTAAATATATAAGGATTTAAAAGTTATTTAATTGTCTTACCTTTTTTAATTTCAATTGTTGGATTTAAGTTTGAGTTAGCAATACAAATATGAATTAAATCGAGCGATCTTGGTAAATTTTTTAATGACAAAGTGTTAAACATATGACTTAATTTGATTATTCCTGATGTTTGATCTATTATTCCGNTCTATTATTCCCTATTAATAAAAATGTACTATTTGGATTATGCATAATTTAAATCATTTTGTTTAAAATATATGTTAAAAAAATTTTTTTTCACACACCCCGGCCAGGACAGCAGTTTTTTTAAATAATATTAAAGGTTATTTTAATGGTGATCATTTACTCAACAGGTTATTCGTATCTAATCAAATCAGACGATTTNCAAATCAAAAGTCAAATCAGAAGATTGTTTTAAATTTGTTTTTGTTAAATGTTTTAGCTCAGATGCGAAGCTGAGAAGGTATTTTAAATCTATTATTATTAGGTATATTTGTTTTTTTAATATTTTGCCTCTTACTCAGAGGCGAATGTGCTTTAAGATTACTGGTAATTTTGTTTTAGAGTATATTTTTGAAGTGGAGCCCTAAATACGTCTGTTACCACTTAATAAAAAAATTCNATACGTCTGTTACCACTTATTAAAAAAATTGCAATTACACACTTTTAGATGGATGACTTACTTCGATTATTTCTATTTATGAAAATATAATTCCCTGTTAAAAAAAGGTACTGTTTAGATTATGCATAGTTTATTCATGAAAATCAAATAGTGTTTTATCTCACTATCGTAAATTTTGGAGATAATANGTTTAGATTATGCATAGTTTATTCATGAAAATCAAATAGTGATTTATCTCACTATCGTAAATTTTGGAGATAATAGAATTAGAAATAATGATGTTGAAGCCCCTCTATACGTCTGTTGCTACTTAGAAAAAAAATTGTACCCAAAAATTTTTATATCATTAACATAATTTGAAATTTGCTNAATTTTTATATCATTAAAATAATTTGAAATTTGCCGATTATAGACAAATTTTTTTTAATTGTCATATTATTTTTTTTAAACTTTCATTTGGTACAAGTTAGGAGGATACAGTTATTCTAGAACATTATCATAAATTAAAAAAAAAAAATTCTAAAAATTTTAAAGTTCTATGACTTTGATAGCAGATTATTTATAAAAAACAAGTTCTAGGATCATTTGTTTTTAACTTACAGTACATTGAATTAGTTTTATTTAAATATATAATAGAAATTGTTAGGAATGTTGGTACCATTTCAATAATTATATTGAAAACAATTTTCCTATCACATGCATTTAATATCCATATTTAATCAATAATTAATTGGGTTTCTAGAAAAAGTATCTAGATAATAAGTTTAGTCGTCTATAGTATCAAATTAAATTTATTTGAAATTGCGATACAAATAAAAAATTGCCGTTCTCAACGATTGTAATTTCTATTTTGATTAGTATAAAATTACAATTTTGTTGTAATCTTTATCATCGGTCTTATGTTAATTATGTGTATCTTTATCGGGCGGCTATTATCTACCTGTATGAACATTGTAAAATCCGAACGGGTCTGACCGTTACTGCCGGATGTGCCAGTGTATTACTTAAATAAAATCAAATGTACACGTTTTCAATAATATGTTATTATTTTAAGTTTAGATTAGTAGTCTTTATTTACACGGTCCTAAATCTCCTAGTTTCGTTTTTTTCTACCGACTAAAGAGTAATATACAAAGTGTTCACTAATGTTCCCATTGTTTAAAACAATTGACCCAACCCAATCAATCTATCACACCTAAAAATATTATAGTTAATTAAACCAAGTTCAGAATCAAAAAAGTTATCGGTTAACCATGTTTCAGTTAAAACAATGAAAGTACAATTTATAGATGATACATTACAGTTAAAGTTAAATAATTTTTTCCTTAAACCACGGCAGTTCTGATAGAATCCAGATATTGAGCCATTACATAGAGGTGTTGCTAAGAATGGTTAACTGCTTGTCGTTGACGTATTCTTCCGTTTTTTGAATGGTTGACAACAACTTTTAGCAATCCATCTTCATAATTTAAACGTAGTCAAGATTCACCATCTTTAGTTCTTTATTCAAGCTCCATATAACAGGAACGCAACAATTTACGTTGAAGTGGTGTTCTATCACTAACCATTCGAAAATTATCAGGAAATGTAGTACCTGAGTGCTTTGCAGAGTTGAACTCAGATAATAAGCATAAAGCATCTCCTTTACTATTTAAAATAATTTTTATAGGGCGGGTTGAATCTGCCCGGAGTTTGCCAAGGTGGACAAGTTATAAGTTCAGGGAACCAGCACTTGGAAGTGAAACAAGAATATTGTCAATTGTCAATTTGTCATGAGCTATTCGCTCAGTTACAACCGTCGACGTAGATTCAGGAATTCCGTATATAATCAAATTAGACTGACATTTTTCACGCGCAAATGTTTCTTGGATAACTTGTGACACTACAGATTGTGATGTATCAACTGAGCTTGAATTTTCCAAACTTGTAACTTTACTTTTCAGTGCATCAATTTCTTTACTAAGCCTAGTATTTTCCTTCTTCAATTCAGTCATTTGATTAGAAACCCAAAACGAGTCAGCATTGAAGTCTTTGTATTGCGAAGCCTGCAGTTCAGACATTGCCTTATTGGAAGATAATACTTCATCCTTTAAGTCCTTTAACAGAACCATCAAATCTTCATTTGAGATCATATTGGTTTTATTACTCATGTCAGCTCGATTGGACGATCCATTAACTGACCTCCCGGAGGAGATAGTTAGAGAAGACCTAGTAGTAACTCTTGAAATGTCTTTTTGAGGAGTATTTGGACTCATAATGATGTTCAATATAATATATTCCTTAAAAGTATAAAAACGCAACCAAAATCACAACCGGTAATGCTGATACAGCATACAATTGACAATCAATAACAGGAGCGTTTAAGTCACCATGAAAAAAAATACA